AGAAAAAGATCAACTAGAGACAGGACAAAGACAAACAAAACAAACAAAAACAAAACAAACAAACAAAGACAGAGAGAGAGACACCAAACCCTACACGTCAACCGTCCTTCGAGATGTGTTTCCTCTTTATGTCCTCTCTCACCCTGCCGACTCTTCCTTCCTCTTGAAGGCCTCTCCCACTTCCTTTAGAAGAAGGCAGCAGGGTGTATTTTAGGGGAGTTGGGGGACGTGGGAAGGGGGAGGGGGAGGGGATGAGGCGGAGGGAGCGGGGAGAGAGGGGGGCGAAGAGGTGTTGAGGGAGGGAAGGGAGGGGGACGAGGAGGGTGAGGGGGGGAGGGACGGGGGGACGTAGAGGGGACGCAGGAGAGTGTGGTGGGAAGGGGCAGGGAGAGGAGGAAGGTGGAGAGGCGATGAGGGAGGGGGAAAGGGGGGAGAGGGGGAGGGAAAGGGGAGAAGGGGGACGAGGAGGCAGGAGGGAGGAAGGGGGGATGAGGAGGTGATGGAGGGAAAGGCGGAAAGATGGGAATGGAAAGGGGGAGGAAGGGAGAGGAGAGGGGCGAGTGAGCGGGAGGGAGGGGGAGGGGAGAGGGGACGAGACCGAGGAGGGGGAGGAAGACGTGGAGGAGGAAGGAGGGAGGGGAGGGAGGAAAGGTGGAGGGTGGGCGAGGGGGAGAGGGGGACGTAGAGGGGGGGCGAAGGAAGGGGGGCGAGGAAGGAAGCGGAGAGAGAGGGGCAGGAAATTGGGGGGGGGAGTCCCAAGACTCATAGACAGACCTTTTTTTTTGTTTTGTTTTTGTTTGATAAGTTTGAGACAAAATGTTTCATCTGAAAAGGATTGGTGGATTGATTTCCAAAAGAAGTGGTTTGTGCTTTTTCTCAGCCTCGAGAAACGGTTCTCTTCTCTCTCATTCTCTTTATCTTCTCGTTCTCTCTTCCTCCCTCCTGTTTCTCTCTCTCTCTCATTCTCTTTCTCTCTCTCTTACTCTATCTCTTTCTCCCTCCCTCAGTCTCTCCCTGCCTCTTTCCTTCCACCTTCCATCTTTCCCTCTCACTCTCTCTGTCTCCTCTCCCTCCCTCCTCTCTATCTTCTATCTATCTATTCTCTCCTCAATCTCTCCTCCCTCTATCCTTCCTCCTTCCCTCCTCCCTTCTCTCTCTCTCTCTCTCTCTCTCTCTTTCTCTCTCTCTCTCTCCTCTCCTCTCTCTCTCCTCTCTCTCTCTCTCTCTCTCTCTCTCGCTGCTCTCCTCTCTCTCCCTCCCTCTCTCCCTCTCTCCCTCCCCCTCATCTCTTCTCTTTATCTATCTATCTATCTATCTATCTATCTATCTCTCTCCCTCCTCCCCCCATCCCCATCCCCATCCCCCTCCCCCTACCCCATCCCCCCATCTTCTCCCCCCCCCAGCATCCGCATACCTCCAATCTCTCTCGTCACACTCAAAATCAACAGGAAGCATGTGATCGTCTTTTGAGAGTGATTTTTGTGGTTACTCGAAGACGAAGAGAGGAGGAAGGGGAAGAGAAGGG